TCTTTCGGTTTTTAATGAAAGAAACAACTTCTTACTACTTCATTCGTACATACTTTTAAATAACCTGACTCTATTGACAAGTGAATCCCAGAATTAACTATAAATTCAGAAATGGGAGGAACTTGAAAGTCATAATCACTAGGTAAGTGGAACTGAGTAAATTGTCAGCCTGCAGCTCCAACAAGTCCTGGTCCTCATAGACTTCACCTTTGGGTCTTCAAAGAAGTGGTTCATGAGATAATTGATATATTGGTTCTAATTTTCCACAATTCCCCAGATGTGGGTGAGGTTTTACTAAGTTAGCAAATAGTAAATATAAGAAAATTACAGGCTAATTAGCTTAATGTGTCACAGTGAAAATGTTAGTAGTTATTATTAAAGTTATAGCAAGGCACTTGAATAAAATCAAGATAATTGAGTAGTTTCAGCATGTTTTTGTGAAAGGAAAATTATGAACCAGTATCGTATGCTTAGATTGCAGGAGGCATTTGTCAGAATTGTAGAAACTGAAGAGTGTAATGTATTGGTATGGTTTGAAGATTGACTAGTTAACAGGAAATTGAGTAGGCACTAAAGGATCATATTCTGGTTGGTAAGATGGAAACGTGGTGTGCCGCAAAGGTAAGTGCTGGAGCTTCAACTGTTTTTACAATTTGATGGAAAGATTTGAATAAAGGTACTGAAAATATTGTTGCCAATTCTGATGTTGAAAGGATAAGGATTGGTTGACTTCTTTGTTTGGATAGCTGGTTTGTGATGCAGAGTGATGCCAACAGCATGGGTTAAGTTCCTGTACCTGCTGAGGTTACCATGATGGTCCCTTCTCCTCCACCTCTCCCCTTTAATGGAGGTCAGTCATTTTTCTCTCTCTCTCTGGGATCATGGTATCTTAGAAATGCAAGTTATGACGAGGGCATGACTGATCCCTTTTGTTACTGCCTTTTTGAGAGGGCAGTGGTTTGGTAAATACTGTATAATGTGGGGAAAATTTGACCATTTTGGCACAAAAATAACCCACCATTTTTTTCAGTCCTCAGTGGTGAGAGGATGGAGAGGGATCTACATGTCCTTGTGCATGAATTACAAAAGGTTAATATACAGATACAGCAAGTAATGAAGAAAGCAAATAGAATGTTATCGCTTATGAGTGTAAGTAAATAGACAAGTACGGAAATGATGCTTTACCATGACCTTTGTTTCCCTCCAAGCTGCACATCACCCTGATTTCTTCCCATTCCTTCAATGTCACTAGATCAAAAAGCTACAGGTATACAGGGCACTGACTCCACATCTGGAGTATGCTGTACAGTATTACCTTCCTAAGGAAGGATGTACACGTGTTAGAATGTTGAAATGAGAAACAGAACATAAATAGTACAACCTATTAATTTAATACTTGCAATGGAATTGTGAGATAGGCTCAGTTTGTATCCACTTGGTGACTTGATAAAACTTGTAAAATCCCGAGGGGTCTTGACAGATTAGACAGGGAAAGGCGTGTTGTGTTTTGTACAAGAATCAGACGAGGAATCACAGTTTAAAAATAAGAGATTGGACATTTAAGATGGATGAGATGAATTATTTTACTGTGGATCATATGACCTTGGAGCACACTTCGAGGTGGTGAAAGTGTCTTTAAATATTTTTAAGGTACTTTCAAACGCTTCTGAAGTATATTTGCAGCATTATCTGAGCCAACATCTCTGACAAGTAGTAAATTGCAAACTAACTTCTCAAAATCATGGTACTTTTGGCATTTGAGGTATTAGGCATGAACTTGAGTTTTATCCGGTTGGTAATCTTGTCTTTCCACTTGAAATAAATTAACGAGCTAATTGCCACTGTTTTTTCTTGAGCTTGTCTATAGAATGAAAGTAACCTTAGTTGATCACTTCTAATTCTGAGACGTGCGTAACAGCTTTTCACCAATTCACCACCTTAATTGGCTCTGTTCTCTTTAATCTTTTCAGCTCTTTCTTTGCACCTTCTAACTGAGCAATGCTCTGGTCTACTGCTTAACAATGTCAGCTGCGTGCATATTGTCCTTTTGACGCCACAAGGCTGAAGTTAAGATAATTTTATCATTTGGTCCTATTGTTATAAGATCAGTCTGTGCTATCAGCACTTTCTCAATGTCAGACACATTGTTACTGATGCTTTCTGTAAATAGCTCTGCCCAGATTAACCATATCTTTTTAAACCAATTCCTTTACATCAGGGAGTCTTCGTTCTCCCAACTACGACCAAGTGTCAGGATGCATCATCATATTCCATTCTAACACCAACTTCACTTAGCAATGGAATGGTTATTCTTTAACAACCAGTCAATTTTGCATAAGAGCATGTGACTTTGAACTACTTGGAGTAATCTTTCAAGGCAACAGACACTTTCAGCTGTGTTAATGAAGCAAATAAGTTGGGAATCTCTGATTTTCATTTCTACTGTGGCAATTTGAATAATGTCTTCAGCCGTTTTAATGAGCTGTTTCTTTCACTCTTGGACTGCAACACTTTATCTTCCTGCTCAATAATACTGATTTCCATATTTATTGTGTACATTCAAATTTCCAGATTCCTGGACTAGCTGTAGTTCTGCCACAATCTCAATCTTGAACTTTACGATGATGTGGAGTATTATTCTATCCTCTACCTCTATGTGCTATCTGGATATGAATGACTTTCATAGTATTTTGACTAGAAATGGGGCATTTAACTGGCTGGTGACTACCATGACAACAGTAGTATCTAAATTTCTAACTCTGATCGTAAAGTGGCCATCATAGCCTGGATCCTCACTGATATGTGCTGGATTCCCCTTTC